AAGGACATAAGCACCCAAAGACAAATTCATTTTTCTCTATTTACACTTTGATGTCAGTGCTCCCTAAAAATTCAGTTCCACGGAAAAATCACTTAAATTTGACTAAGATAGCCAATTAAGGTAACCCCCACAAATTTTAAAAGTACGCCAAATAGCTTTATAAATGACGTCTCGCTACCGTCGCCTCCCTAATGTTGGGCGTATAAATCTCGAGCAACTGACGTTCAGCCAGAGCCAATCTTGTTAGTAGTTATGTCTCACGTTAGGCTGTCTGCTTTGGACTAGAAAAGGTACCAAGACGATCGAGGAACGGACGCGGTTTTTCTTTCCGGTCCTCGCGTGAAGACCCCGGCCGGGCTAAAATTGACCGGAGACCTCAGAGACGAAAATACCGGTCACCTGGAGCGAGAGGCGACTGGGAGAAGAGATAGCCTGGGAACGAGATTGAGTTACAGTTTTATGTTCCTAGATAATAATAGCCTGCGATCATGCTCTCCCTAAAAAAAAAACGTAAAACGCCTATTCAAAAAAAGACGATAAAACATGAGAAAGTATAGCTTTACACTATTTCCTTGTTTCTGTTTTCGTCTTTTGTGGCTATGATTTGTATTTTTGGATTCTGTTTCAGTTTTGCGGTTTAATTTTGTATTTTTTTGAGTGTGTATCCTGTTGGGGTTGCATATTTCCGTTTGAGGATTTGTGTTTCTGTTTTCTGGTAGTGTTTTTCTGTTTTGGGTTTCCGTTTTGTGTATGTGTTTCTGTTTTGAGTTTCTTCTTTCCTATTGTTGTTGTTGTTGTTGTTGTCTTGTGGTTTTTTTGTTTCTGTCGGCCACCCTATATATTTGATAGTCCTCTGCATTTAAATCCAACCACTGGAGAACACTTCAAAACTCCGTTGAAAATTTCTTCACAGAGATCAAATTGTTCAGGTAAGAAATAATCTCCTTTAACTTGGAATTTGTCTAATCAGATATTTCTGCAAGGTTTATTTTGATCTCTAGCTGTAGTTTTCTTTCCTGTCTTTTTTACTTAGAAATAATTAATACTAAGCTTAGACTGGTTTGCGACCGCGAAGCAAAGTATGTTTGTTCGATATTAAGCAAATTGCCCGACTAGAATATTGTTTTGGCCGATTTGTGTTTCTCTCCCTTCGTTGTCTCCCTTGTCTGCTTCTCTCTTCAACTTCCTTTCCACCCCCCACCCCCTCCAAACCCCCTACCCCTACCCCTCCTCACACAAGTAACGCCGGATATTCAGGATAATTTATGTTAAATGTGGATCTTTCATGTTGTAGACGTCACAGATTTAAAATTGTTTTCATTTATATGACAATAGCTAACGAAGAAAGACCTGCTTTGTACATAAATTTGTGAAACTAAGTGTTGCATCGATTAATAAGAAATTAAGGTCATGAACTTAGTTAAGACATCTTTTCTCAAACAGCTGCCTTTTAAATTTTTCAATGTTCATTGGGACTATGTAAATTTTATTGTCAGAAAGGTTTTCAGGAAAACTACTGTTTATAAATTAAATAGCTTTTATTTCTGCACTATGTAAGGCAAACAATTTAAAATTTGTTGTGGTTTTCTATTTTGTGGTCTCTCTGAATTTTGCTCGTAATGTTATTGTCGCCGGGCCGAGCCGACTCATTTTTGAGGATTAGACCTAGCCCCATCTCTCTGGACTTAACCTGTGTACAGCCGCCCCCTCCCGTCAGAAAAAACATTATCTTTGAGTAACGGGAGGCCGCCTATACACAGGTTATTTGGACTGAAACATTTCATGTAAACTAGATGGGGAGAGTGTTGTGGCTAACAGTAATAGAATCCTCAAAGCACGGCTGCACAATGAGAAAGCAGTGTTACCTTAGTATTTTCCTCTTGGTGTTTAGATAACAAGGTCTACACTTTCTACTCATGTAAGAATTTTATGAAGAAGTGGAATCCGAAGATACTTGGACATACTTTGGGCCTTTAGCGGTTTCTTTTGACATCCTTGTACGAGCATGAAACTAAGCAATAAGGTCACAAACGATAGAAATATTTCTTTTTATTATATAAACACCAATGAAATACAAAGTGAATTTTCACGCGAAAACATGATCTTCACATGTGAAAATAACATGTTATCTTCACATGTGAAAAGATTACCGTTGCTATGGCTACATAATAAATCGCGCCTTTCGCAAAAAAAAATGTCTAACTGAAATGGTTTTGTATTTCGTTGGTGTTGATATAATAAATAGAAAATTACATAGCCGCTTATGGATACGAAATTTCTCTCCTCGTGTTGAAGATATTTCACTCGTTCGCTGCGCTCACTCGTGAAATATTTTTCAACACTCGAAGAGAAATTTCGTATCTCCGCACGGCCATGTAATATCTTCTATGTGCTACATATTCTGCCATAAAAACCTTAGGGACAGAAACGTTCCGATCCATACATTTAAGGTGAATTATTCATAGCCCTCAAAATTGACCTAAAAATCGACCTCAGAAAACCCGGCCCAAAAAGGCTGATCTATACCTCACACCAAAAAAGGGACAATTGAGCTAAAACATTGCCTGATAATGTACAAGTCTCCATGATAGTAACTAAGTGTACCAAATTTGAGCAAAATCGACCGACAACTATTTCCAATCCTCCCTCAGGCAGAAGCTCTCAACAATATTTTCATTTGGTATCACAGGAGTTTCAAATATCAAGTTTAGTTTTTGTACTTAATGAAACCTTTCTTGTTTTCTAAATATTTAAGGTGACTCGACCCAGTTTTTTTGGGGGGGTACCATCCTACTTTGAGGTTCTCTGGTATCCCCACCTTTACTTTTATCGTAAGTCTAACACATAGAATGGATAACATATAGATCAATCTATAATATAACATAAAATTTTTGGCGATCAGAGTAAATGTCACGTGGTTATAATGCCACGCCCCTTTGAGGTCTGAGTCGAAAATCTGCTGTTGCCCGCATTTTTTCGTGAAAATCTCTCGGCTACACATAGTGCGCATTAGTGCCTTGCGCTGAACAGAGTTTCACCAAAATCGCAAAGACCCAATTCGAGAAATTCAGCGGTTTCCAAATTTAGGTCATAATTTATGCGAAAACGATAAGCAAACTTTACACGGATTATATCTAATAAACTATGAGATTCATCTCTTTATTTTGGGCATCGTTATAACAGATGGGTCCTTGCAAGTCAGTAAAACGCTTTAGGGCCTTGTAAATGCGCCCGATTTCGAGCAAAGCAAACATATAGAAATTATAGTTTTCGCTATTTGTTGACGTTTGCCAGCGTTTAAGAGTCTTTCTCACGAAAAAAGCATTTTCTTAAAAATTCGTAGTTTTTTTCCTTCAAATTTTTCCAGGGCCACAATTGATTAACTAACTATCCGGACTCTGAATTTCATGGTCATTGAAAAACTGTGACATTATCTTCTATAAGCCCGAACTTGAGTAAACATTGAAGTTTTTTAGCGTTTTGGCTGAGTTTGTGCTTTGGGAGTTGTCTATTGTTTCTAGTCTGTCATTATACAGCATTCTTGTTCAGCACGCGTGCAATGACCACGCTTGGCTGACTTCCGAATGCTCACCGAGATATTCCCGTCACGAGTTGGTTTAATTATTGGCTTGCATTAAACCTATGAAAAAATGATATTTTTTTAATAGTAAGTAGATTTAGTGTGTCTTGATTTTTTTGCAAAGGCACAAGAAGCACGAGAATTGATTACAAATTGTGAATTAAACCTCTATGTATCACGCGGTGGCCTGTCTCACTGTACCAAAATTATCAAATCTCGGTGAGAATTCGGAAGTCAGCCAAGCGCGGTCATTGCACGCGTGCTGAACAAGAATGCTGTATAATGACAGACTAGAAACAATAGACAACTCCCAAAGCACAAACTCAGCCAAAACGCTAAAAATCTTCAATGTTTACTCAAGTTTGGGCTTATACAAGATAATGTCACATTTTTTCAATGACCATGAAATTCAGAGTGCGGGTAGTTAGTTAATCAATTGTGTCCCTGAAAAAATTGGAAGGAAAAAAAACTACGAATTTTTAAGAAAATGCTTTTTTCGTGAGAAGGACTCTTAAACGCTGAAAAACGTCGACAAATAGCGAAAACTATAATTTCTATATGTTTGCTTGCTCGAAATCGCGCGCATTTACAAGGTCCTAAAGCGTTTTGCTGACTTGCAAGGACCCATCTGTTATAACGATGCCCAAAATAAAGAGATGAATCTCATAGTTTATTAGATATAATCCGTGTAAAGTTTGCTTATCGTTTTCGCATAAATTATGACCTAAATTTGGAAACCGCTGAATTTCTCGAATTGGGTCTTTGCGATTTTGTTGAAACTCTGTTCAGCGCAAGGCACTTATGCGCACTATGTGTAGCCGAGAGATTTTCACGAAAAAATGCGGGCAACAGCAGATTTTCGACTCAGACCTCAAAGGGGCGTGGCATTATAACCACGTGACATTTACTCTGATCGCCAAAAATTTTATGTTATATTGTAGATTGATCTATATGTTATCCATTCTATGTGTTAGACTTACGATAAAAGTAAAGGTGGGGATATCAGAGAACCTCAAAGTAGGATGGTAGCCCCCCAAAAAAACTGGGTCGAGTCACCTTAAGTAGGGTACAAAGGAGATTTTTTACTTTCAACTAAGTTTATTGAAAGAACTTTAAAAGGAATCTGCTTGAAATATTGTGTTATAACACCAATATTCAGGAATTGACAAAAAAAATTCAGAAGATTTGTCCGTTAGAGTAAATCTAGGGTGGAAGGAGTGGAAAGTTCTAGCTACCTTATCGCTCTAATGGAAACATATTGTAAGACTTCAAATGTATTAATGAGAATTATTTTTGTTTTTTCTCTACTTCTACGCTCCTTTAAAGAAGCATTACGCCCAAGAAACAGTTCCACTTTGAATACTAGAACTTGGAAATGGCAGAAAGAAAACTACAACATATAGCTGAACAAAAAAAACCTCTTGCAATAGCGCAAATCAATAAAAGCACGGCAGAGAAAGCACGTGCCTACTGCAATCTAGGCGAAGCTTATTACTTCCCCAACGACTTCCATCTGGAAATAGAGTACCTCAAGCAATACCTGAGCATTGCTGAGGAAGTCAGTCACAGAGCAGGATCAGCAGTAAGTAGCTATGCCATTCTCGGCTGTCTTTACGATTCCCTCGGTGACTCCCAAAGAGCAATAGCGTACCACAATCAAGACCTCAGGATTGCCAGGGAAGTTGGTGACAGGGAACGTGAAGGATATGCCTATGGCCATCTCGGCGTTTCTTATGGCAGACTTAAAGAATTCCAAAGAGCAATAGAGTACACCAACCAATGCCTCAGCATTGCCAAAGAAGTTGGTAACAGGAAATGTGAAGGCAAAGCCTATCACAATCTCGGCGTTAGTTATTACAGCCTTGAAGAATTCCAACGAGCAATAGAGTACTACAATCAACAGTTCATCATTGCCAAAGAAGTTGGTGACAGGGAATATGAAGGCAATGCCTATCACAATCTCGGCGTTGCTTATAGAAACCTTAAAGAATTCCAAAGAGCAATAGAATACCACAATCAAGACCTCAGGATTGCCAGGGAAGTTGGTGACAGGGAACGTGAAGGATATGCCTATGGCCATCTCGGCGTTTCTTATGGCAGACTTAAAGAATTCCAAAGAGCAATAGAGTACACCAACCAATACCTCAGCATTGCCAAAGAAGTTGGTGACAGGAAATGTGAAGGCAATGCCTATCACAATCTCGGCGTTATTTATTACAGCCTTGAAGAATTCCAACGAGCAATAGAGTACCACAATCAACAGCTCATCATTGCCAAAGAAGGTGGTGACAGGGAATATGAAGGCAAAGCCTATGAGAGTCTCGGCGCTGCTTATAGAAACCTTAAAGAATTCCAAAGAGCAATAGAATACCACAATCAAGACCTCAGGATTGCCAAGGAAGTTGGTGACAGGGCAGGTGAAGGACGTGCCTATGACCATCTCGGCCGTGCTTATCACAGCCTTAAAGAATTCCAACTAGCAATAGAGTACCACAATCAACAAATCAGGATTGCCAAGGAAGTTGGTGACAGGGCAGGTGAAGGATGTGCCTATGGCCTTATTGGCCTTGCTTATCACAGGCTTGAAGAATTCCAACGAGAAATAGAGTACCACAATCAACACCTTATCATAGCCAAGGAAGTTGATGACAGGTCATGTCAACGCATAGCCTATAGGAATCTCGGCGCTGCTTATAGCGACCTTAAAGATTTCCAAAGAGCAATAGAGTACAACAATAAATACCTCATCATTTCCAAGGACGTTGGTGACAGGGCAAGTCAAAGCCAAGCCTATAAAAATCTCGGCGCTGCTTATAGCAGCCTTAAAGAATTCCAAAGAGCAATAAAGTACACCAATAAACAACTTATCATTGCCAAGGAAGTTGGTGACAGGCCAGTGCAAGGGGAAGGCTATGGTGACCTCGGCAATATTTATTTACTTCTCGGCGAATACCAACGAGCAATAGAGTACGCCAATAAATGCCTCATCATTGCCAAGGAAGATCGTGACAGGGCACAGGAATGCAGAGCCTATTCCATTCTCGGCAATGCTTATCACAGACTTGATGAATTGCCACGTGCAATGGAGTGCCACAAGAAACTGCTGAGCATTGCCAAGGAAGTCGGTGACAGAGAAGGAAAAGAATGTGCCTATTTATACATCGGCGACGTTCATCATTCCCTCCGCGACGTGCCACGAGCAATGGAGTACTACAAGCAATGCCTGAGCAATGCCAAAGAAGTCGGTGACAGGAATGGACAAGGAATTGCCTATTGCCGTCTCGGAGGGTGTTATGGAAGTCTCAACGACTTGAAGGAAGCAATAGAGTGTTTCAAGCAACACCTGAGCATTGCCGAGGAAATCGGTGACAGTTTAGCAGAAGCATGTGCACATGACTGGTTGGGTTACTCTTTTTGGGCATCACATTCTTTGAACGAGGCTTTAGAACATTATAGATGCTGTGTTAACATATATGACACTATTAGAGCCAGTTCTATCTCGGAAGATCAGTTAAAGATAAGTTTCTGTACACGTTTTAAAGATCCTTATACTCATTTATGGCAAGTTTTAGTAATGCTTCAAAGGGATGATGAGGCTCTATGCGCTGCTGAGAGGGGACGAGCACAGGCTTTGCTCGATGCCTTAAAAGTGACTTATGGCCTTACATCACTTTCGCCCAGGTCGATTGAATCTGAAGAAGAAGTCAGAAATATTTTAAGGAAGACAACTGTTTTAACAGTTTTTCTTGCCCTGCAAGAGAAAACAGTCAATATCTGGGTGTTGGGAAAAGAGGACAAACCTATTTTTAGGCAAGAGAAGATAGAAATTGGACTTGAACACGAAGATTCCTTTACTCTCCTTTTAGAGAATGTTTTGAAAAGCATTAAGGCTGGCGTCGGTATCAGGTGCGAAAATCGGTCAATGGATAAGCTGAGTGATGACTCAACTCCCTCAAGTACTCAAGACGACAATCAAACATCGGAGCCATCACAGGAGAGCGCCGACAGGGCTGGCGTCGGTATTAGGTGCGAAAATCGGTGCGAATTACAGCCATTATATGATGCAGTTCTTGGTCCCATTGAAGACTTGCTTGATGGTGATAAACTAATTGTAGTTCCTGATGGCGCTTTGTCTAAATTTCCTTGGGCAGCCCTGAGTGAAACTTTAAGGATCCGCACTGTTCCCTCACTTACAAGTTTGAAAGTCATCACAAATTCTCCAAGTGAATACCACAGTAAAAGTGGAGCCCTGCTTGTTGGAGATCCATGCTTGAAGAAAATTACAGATAAATGGGGGAACCCCATTTATAAGCAACTGAAGTACGCAAAAATGGAAGTGGAGATGATTGGAGAAATTCTAAAGAGTCAACCCTTAACAGGTGAAGATGCAACCAAAGAAGCGGTACTTCAGAGAATCAAGTCAGTGTCTTTGGTTCACATTGCAGCCCACGGAAGGCCGGAAACCGGAGAAATTGTTTTGGCCCCAGACCCCCAATGGGAATCCGACACTCCTACTGAGGAGGACTGCATTATGAAAATGTCTGACATACAAGCTGTTAAGCTGAGAGCGAGACTGGTTGTGCTAAGTTGCTGCCACAGTGGTCAAGGAAAGGTCTCGTCTGAGGGTGTGGTCGGTATGGCACGTGCTTTCTTGTTTGCTGGTGCTCGTTCCGTGCTGGCGACACTTTGGGCAATTGATGACGAAGCCACAATGATGTTTATGAAATCTTTCTACCAACATCTTGCAAGAGGAGAAAGTGCAAGTGTTGCTCTTCAGAGGGCCATGAAATGTCTGCGAGACTCCCACGATTATTATGCTCCAAAGTACTGGGCTCCTTTTGTTCTGATGGGCGATGACGTTAAGATTGAATTGGAAAAAGAGTCATTGAGCAAGTCGTAAGTGGAGATTTTTTTTCCTCCTGTTCTAGTAACAAAAGGCTTAAGAAGAAAAGCTAGAACCATTCTTGTCAAATTCAGATAAAAGGAAAATGACAGACTTGATAATAAAAAGAATAAAAATATATATAAAGTAAGGATGGGTTAGGTGGTAAGTGTTAAATTATTATGGATTCACCCAAGTAAATGCTATTCCTAACGGGCTACCAACACATTTCAAAAATCAATTGAACTCTAGGCATTGCTTAATGTTCTTAATTGTTAAATAATTTAGGTCAGGTGTTGATAAAAGATATACATAGGGAATAAGTTTCCTTCGTTTTCCTACAGGACTAGCACTGTAGAGAAATTCATAGCTTCAAAACGAACAAATATGTCTAACATGTTAAATATTTTTCATTTTGCTGTTTTTCATATCATCATCCATGGCATCCTCACATTTCACTCTTTGACCTTTATTTTGTTTTGAAATGAAAGATTAATTAACGTATCAATTTTTGCTTTCTTTACAGGATGCGCTGAAAGTTTGATGTCAACACAACTGCTGAAGTAGCGTGTATATATCTGGATTTCCCCAAAGAAAGAAGTGCGTTATTTAATAGCTGTTCTCAATGGGGCGTTTGGTAAAAAAGCGTGTTTTCGTTTTAGTCATTTTTTGTCAGAAGATATTAAATAGCGAGATTTATAGTCACGCTGACGACAAATGGCAAACGTCTACACATTCAAGTAGAGAATTTCTCAAAATAGAAAATGTGCAGATAAAATGAATACAGCTCAAAGCAAGTACATCAAAGGGCATACTGTATACTGTGGAGCTCTATATTAGCCACGGCTACACTTATCAATTTTAACTTAGGGAAAAGACAAACAATTTTCGTGGGGAAAGAACTTAACGTTGTTTACAAGTATTTCGTTACTCCCGCGAAACTGACTGAGTAGTAGTATAGATGATTGCCCCTTTTCTCTTGTAACCTACCTTAATCGGCAAATTATAATTTGGCAAAGGAAAATTGCATTGTAATAATCGTAATATTGATGATAATAATAATCACCATCATCATAATCTTAATAATTCCTTTTCAGTTTTTTCCCCTCGGCTTTAAAGCAAATGACTGCAACAAATATGGAACCCCTCTCCAGAGTTTTTGATAATTTGCGGTATTTCGAAACGATTTTTCCTGCAGTGGAAAGCCTTTGATCTACTCAACAAGATGAGGTTTATTTTTAATGGGTGGTGGGGCTGCTGGAGGCTTGTGACCCCATCTTGGATTTCACCAAGAATTAGAAATTGGGTTAAAATCGCGATAAATGATAATTTTCTGTGCTTTACATGTAAAATAACACATAAATAAGCCCTTTGCATCATTTCATTGACAATTTTTACTTTTATTGTTGAAAAAAGTTGAAAGAACATGCATTTTCACTCAAAAATGGCTTGACAACCTGCTACCTATGATGTCATATGTCGTAACCATAGTAACTGACCATCACTAAACTTGTCTCAAATTGCGCGCGAGGGATAAACGAACAGCTACTGAAAACGTCACGTGCTGATGTTTATCGTCTAAAAAAAAAATCAAAAAAAACCTCAGGGTGGCGCAGCTAACCACTCCCCCTCCCCTTATACGTCCGACGGTTAAGAATCCCAAGTCTCCCAACGGGACGGAGACGAACCAATTAACTATATACAAGCGTGGCCGTGGTTTCAGTAGCGTGATTCAGATTTAAATCAGATAATTTTTAAAATTTAAGAATGCACTGTAAGTATTTTCTGAACCGCGGGTCACAAGTTCATTGGTTTAAGGTCTGAGTTAAAAGGCTGTATTACGTTTTATATGACTGATCCCCGGTTTCCCAGAACTAGCATTATTTAAAAAAAAAAAATGAATATGTCCATGTCTTCTTGATCCTTAATGTATAAATTGGTGGACAGTACAAAATGCAGACTGCAGACCATTGTTTTCAGGGTTAGAAAACAATGGGACTATCAGCGGCTTCATAGCTTAGTTGGTTAGAGCGTCGCACCGGTATCGCGAGGTCACGGGTTCAAATCCCGTTGAAGTCCTGATTTTTTTGTTTTCAGGCTTCTTACGCAATTGAATAAATTGCGTTCACAACTGCGAGGATCATTCTTCATTTGATTTTATTCCCGCAATTCTCATATATGATTTATTTCATATGCATTTGTCAATGGGACTATTGTTGTCACGTTCTATTTGCATGGTGAAAACAATGTTTTGCACTGAGAGCAGTCTGTAGTCTTCATTTTATACTTATGTTGTATATTGGGACACAAATTGTGTCACTTAATTAATACTGTTTTTAAATTGAAGTATATAAAATGGGATTTCAGAGACGAGTTTAACTTATATGGATAAATTATTAGCGTTTCATACAAAGAGTAAAACATTTTGCCTTCCACGTTTGGGAATGAATATGCTCGTAGTTTTAACAGTAAGTTTAGGACGATACACCGAATAGCCTGCGCGGAGACAGGAGCCAGTGACCGCTGGCGACTTGGACCGTCTGACAATCATTAGACTGACTTTTGCCTTATTTTAATAACCCTTTTTTGGGAAAAGCGTTGCCAGATAGTCCTTCTATGCCTGCAAACAAAGGAAAAAGGGCCCGAAATCTACTTTTCATCCGAAAGCAAGATTTGTTTTCCTTCTCTATTTTCTCACCACCACTTCCTTGTAGAGCTGAATCCGCCTCTGTCTCTGCACTCGTAGACTATTTGTTCTGCCATTAAACTAGGTTTAACTCTTAATCTTGTTTCTTAATTACTGCGAGTCATTTCAATCATAAAAAACATTTTCGTGTACTGTTGCGTTAGTGGTCCAACAGCTTTAATTGATGTCGACTTTAAAGTATCCAAACAGTGGAAGAGATTAGATTAAGATTTTGGACGCTCCACTAACGTAATGATGTTTTGTTGTAATTGTGCTAGGTTGTAAAAGTTGGGCTTTTAATCAAATAGATCAGTTCCAGAACACGTATACAGAAACGTTCTGAGGTTTGGCGCTAGGAAATCACAGCAATCGTTCAAGCTATCATCATTCTATCGAGAATCTGACCTATTTTTACTGCTTCTAGATTGCTTTTCTCTAGACCATTGACTTTTAGCCATCCCTCAGTTATTTAAAGAGGCTGCTTTAATTTAGGGATGTCACCATTAGAAAAAAAGGATAGGAGGTTGGGGGAAGGCAAACGTATTAGTAAGAAAAAAATCTCCACACGTACCATGATCAAAAAAGCTGTTCGAGGAGGAAAAATAGATTTCCACCTCAAGAGTAAAGAGAAAACTTTCATAGACCTCCCAAAAATTCAACCCAGCAACTTTACTTTGCTAATGGTTCATCCCTAATACCGCCCCATGTAACGGAATCCGGAATATGGGAAAAAATTGCATGTGAAATCCGGAATCCTGGGCTTTGGAGTCCGGAGCCACGGAGTACAGCTTTAAGAATCCGGACTCCCACTAGCAATTGGAATTGAGAATCCAAGTTCCACTGACAAAGACTGGAATCGAGTACCTGTGATCTGGAATCCGTGACGTGGAATCCAGAATCCTAGACTATCTTGGATTGCCTTACACGGGGTGAGTTATAGGTCGGCTTGTTGAACTGCTTCTACTTGATGCCAACACGTAGCACGATACAATGTTTAGTTTCTGATGTTACCTTAAGATAAGTAATGTTGTATTAAACCTGAAGAAAACGAGATGTTTACTGTGATTGCTGATCTCTTCGATGCCTTAAACCATTTTAAAACAACTTCTCCTTGAACTGGAATAGTCAGTATTTGATTAACAAACCACTCCCCCCTCAGAGGCGCTAAACATTTTCGATTCTAGAACGTTTTTTACATATTTTAAGGCAAGTTTCTGGTTTTGTTATCATCCCGCTAGGTAAATTGGTCTTCAAGCAAGAAAACCCAACTTTCAAGCAGAGGTTTGATGAAAAGCATTTGACCTCGTTTCGCCATACAACGTCATAAGAAGCATAAAGGCACCAAAAACTCATTCCATTATATTTTCAAAGAGTGCCATGGTAGTGACCCCCCTGTCACGGGTCTCTTGGCAGCCAAATGACTCAGTAAAACAAAAACGTGTTCAAACCAATTTTCGACATCCAGGGATGTACCTTGGAACAGCAAAGGAAACGTTTGTCCTGATTTATCAAAACTAGAATTTCATCGTTAATCCAAGCAATCTTGCCACTTTCAATTAAAGCAGCACCGATCTAGAAAGTGGATCGTCTCATACCGAGAAGAGCTTCTACTCTTCGTCGCAGTGTTAACGGGTAACGAGTATTCGAACTGTGGAGTTAATAACAGAGTAGGAGGGAGGACTGGAACCCAGAAAGACGGAAGTAAATATTAAGCGGAAGTGAGGATTGGGAATAATTTTGCCAATCCCTCTCGGCCAACTCTCCAGACTCGTACCCAGTCGCTGTTTATTTATCCCCGCGCGCCTCAATCTTCTCTCCAATCTCCAATCTTCTCTCATCCCAAAAACACATAAATAGTGAGTGGGTGCGATTGTAGACATTTATGGATGTTCCTCTCCAGGCATAGGCAAAATTAAGTTTAAGTACACACCTGGTCAATCGTGAAGCATGCAGTACTGCAATTTTTAATCATATTTCCAAACATGGTCAATAAAATGTTAACCAGTGCCTATATTGAACATCTATTGAATGAGATTTTGTGATATCTGGAATAATCAAAGGTCTCGAAGGCTGACGCTAGCTGATAACATTTACAGCGACCTTGATTATTCCAGATGTCACAAAAAGCTAAACTAATCAAACATTGTTTTGAAGAAAATGACAACACACCGTCGCACAGAATATAGTTTGACATTGCTCTTGCAAATTATGCATTGCGCGCGCAAACTGCAGACAAGTCAGTTATCTGCTAGCAGATCTGAATTAACTAATCTGTAGGTTGCGCTGATTTTCAAATTACATTAACCGTAGGCTCTTAGCCAATGAGAAGGCATGTAGTGGGTACAATTTATAATAATTTTATTTATATGTACACCAATTTATTTCTTGCAAACGGACTTGCAAGGAAAACAAAAAATTCATGCACAGAGTTATTAGTCATTATAATAAAAAAAAAGGATGGTTGAGAATGTAAGTGGGGACTGGAAAGACAAACATGAAAATTTTAGCAAGAGAATTCAAAAGGGAGAAAACATGACGTGGCTAGTCCTTAAAAACCCCTCGCCAGTAGATGGGTGTGGGGAAGGTGCCTGGTCAAAAGGAGGGAGCCGCAAGGCAGCACGGGAGGTAAACATGACAACCCGGTCAGCGGGAAATAACACGCATCGTCACACTGATAATAAGGAGTTTACGCAACAGGACGGAAGAGAAAAGAAGACGGCAAACCTTCTGTGAAAAGCGTGACAATAATTTTGTTGAAATAACTTTCCGCCAAACTTCACCTTTCTTTAAACAGATCTTTTTGTAAAAGACCAGAAAATATTAATGGTGAGTGAAGATCATGACAAAACTGGCAAGTAATAGCCCTGTTACGTTTGTCACACACAAGAGTTTTGCCGTCCTCTTATTCCTGCCGTCCTGTGGGTGAACTCAATAATATCCTGGGTGACAGATTACTCCTTAATTTTTGCGAGAAATTTCAGCGTACTAAATTAAAATTTCACTTGCGAAATTACATAATTTGCGATGGCAACGTTCCGTACGTCTCAGTGGTGCCAAGATGGAGTAGAAAATTCAAAATGTTATGAATGAAGATGTCAGGGCGGGGCATTCAAAGACGCTTTAGAAAACCTCAACGCACCAAAGAGCACGTCAAGAACTCTTCCAACAGGTATTTTGTCGAAAAACTTAGAACTTAAGCCAAATTTTATGTTCTAAACCATTCAGTGCGTGATACTTGCATGAAAATTCTCCAAGTAAAGACAAGACATTTAAGGTACACATCACTCCATGTAAGGTAATCCGGATTCCGGAATCCGGGAAATTTTGCTTGTGGAATCCAGAATCATCCAAGAATTCGTTCTTGTAGAATTGGAAATCCTGGACTTGGGAATCCGGAATTCAGCTCAAGAAATCCTGAATCCCGCTAACGATTGAAATCCGGAATCCAAGTTCCACTAACAAGGAATCCAAAATTTATTGTCTGGAATCCAGAATCCAAGACTGTCTTGCTTTTCCTTACATAAATAATGTGACACACAAATCATAACGAACCGTTTACTGACAGCAGCGAGCTAAAAACAAAATTGATCATGGAAAATTCACGGTTCCCAATACTTGCACGAAAATTCTCCAAGTAAAGACAAGACATTTAAGGAACACGAATGAGCTGCTTTGCAGACAGCAGCAAACTAATAGCCTCTTTATGGGTATTTCCGACGAAATCGAAGTAGCGACGGTCGCTATATTGACGAAACGACGATCTTAGAGATTAAGGCGACGACCGTTTTGCCATTTTGATAACGTTTGATCTGACTACATGAGTCTTGCGATAGCGAAAAATAAATCTACCAAACAGGGTGCTGCACGTTCATAGTTTCGTTATTCATGTCCCAAAACAATGAAACGGCGGCCATTGTGGTGTACCAAACAAATCCTGTGGGAGTTGAACCTTTTTCCTATGAAAAAATTTTCTTGTGTTCAAATAAAATTGAGTGAAAGAAAAACGCTCTCTCTATTAAGTCTAAATGGTTAGGGCGCATGATGGAATATCAAGAGGGCAGGAAGAGGTGGTAATATTACCCTGGCCGGGATAGGAGTCAACCTCATTCCCAGGGTTTTCTCCTACAAGCAGAGAGAACCCGAGAACGAAGTTGGGTAGGAGTTTCGGCCGCTTCGTTCTAAGCGCATCCTCGGAGACCCAGGGGTAGCTACAATCCTTGTCAAAAATCTTGAAACACTTCCCCAATGTTGATTTGGGTATTACAGTGGTCTCAGTGCTTCAAAATACTCTTGGTGCAACATTGGCGAGGGAGAGGGCACATTACAGTGAAAACAGAAGGGTCAGGAGAAAAAATCTCAAGAATTTTCCAGAAAATTGAAGAGAACGGTGTCTGTTTCAACGATTTGTGACGAGTATTGTAGTCGGGACGATTCTATCGTAACTACTAGCTGCCCCTGGGTCTCCGAGGATGTTGTAATCATTTTGAACTTATCCCAACAACAGTTGTGATTTGTGTTAACCCTTTTAGCCACAAGAGTAACCAATATCAATTTCAAGTTCTCCTGACAATTTCAACATATTTTTAAGAGAAAAGGTTCAGAGAATTTATAAAATGATCACCAAAGAGGAAATGCTTTTATCCTTCATCATATTCTTGTCTCAAAACGGAAGTCTAAAGAATGATGTGGCGACTAATATTGTTGTTGTTTTCCCACTTTGGCCAATTTTTTGTCGCATTATCATTTCTAAATCTACCTATTATTATTTCATTATTGACACAACTGCTTGTAAAACTTTCTTAGCATATATAAAGAATGGGCGCCATGAACTTTTGAATGAGGTGGAAGAAACTGCGAGAGTGGTTTACAAGGACATTCTTGACTGGATTCAGCAAAAGCTACCTTGAACTGTTTTAGGCCACGAGCAAACGAATCCAGACTAATTTTTGAAACTGCATAACTTTTTACCTGGATTCCATTCCAGAGAGCGGTGTCAAAAAGATAGTAGGCTGATTTAGCAATAGAATGGGAACGTCAGTTGACGACGACGCGCGCAAGTCAAACAACTGGCTTGACCAATGGCAGAGCAGCGAATTGAGCACCGGAAGTCGCGTTCAGTCCTTTCCGCGCGCTTTCCCGTCGTCAACTGATGCAGTCCCGTGCTGTTGCTAAATCAGCCTAATGTTTCGGTGAGAGGATTCACTGGTTTCGCGCGTGGACGGAATACCAGACGGACGGCCGATTCATGTGAAAAGTGAATATAAATGCGGTTTCAAAAATATCCAGATTTGTGTGGACGGGGCTTTTCACCATAGTGTCAATTTACAAATATGACCAGAATAATTTTATTTTTTCATTTCTTTCATATTTAATTCGGTAAATTCAGAAGCCTTCATTTGCATGAGAAAGCCAAATTCTGAAGGATTCTAAAAAGGGCCGTTTGCACGATGGCGTCATTTTACTGTACCAGATTCCTTCTGGGTTTTTCTTTCTTGTGCAAGTTAGGGCTTTTGTTATTTAAACCACAGTGGGATTACCAAATTTAAATATGAAAGAAAAATGAAATGAATTTCTTTAGTAGCAAAAACAAGTCATCGCGTAAATAGCCAATTAGGCCCCGTGGCCCCCAGTCTATTCTGAACTGCTGCATATATTCGGGCTGGGAGGATAACCCTTATATGGGCCTCCCTACTGTCGGGCGTATTAAATCTCGAGCGACTGACGTTCAGTCAGAGTCAATCTCTGTATTTTAACGCCAGGTTAGATTTACAGTTTGATGTTCTTAGATAATAATAGCCTACGATCATGCTGTCCCTAAAAAACGCCTGTTTTAAAAAAAGACGATGAAACATGAGAAACTATAGTTTTACGCTATTTACTTGTTTCTGTTTTCGTCTTTTGCGGCTATTGTCAGTGTATTGTTTGCATTTTTAATTTCTGTTTCAACTTTGCGGTTTAATTTTGTATTTTTATGTGTGTTTCCGGTTTGGTATGCTTATTTCCGTTTGGGGATTTGTGTTTCTGTTTTCTGGTAGTGTTTTTCTGTTTTGGGTTTCCGTTTTGTCTTATGTGTTTCTGTTTTGGGTTTGTTCTTTTCTATTTTTGTTGTTGCTGTTGTTGTCTTGTGGTTTTTTTGTTTCTATCAGCCACCCTATATATTTGATAGTCCTCTGCATTTAAATCCAACCACTGGAGAACACTTCAAAACTCCGTTGAAAATTTCTTCACAGAGATCAAATCGTCCGGGTTAGAAATAATCTCCTTTAACTTGGAATTTCTCCAATCAGATATTTCTGCAAGGTTTATTTTGATTTCCTGCTGTAGTTTTTCTCCCTCGCTTTTTTACTTAGAAATAATTAATGATAAGTTTAGACCGGTTTGCGACCACCAAGCAAAGTGTGTTTGTTCGATGCTAAACAAAACGTCCGACTAGAATATTGTTTTGACCGATTTGTGTCTCCCTTTTCTCCCTTTTTCACCCTCAAAATTGACCTAAAAATCGACCTCAGAAAACCCGGCCCAAAAAAGGCTTATCTATATACCTCACACCAAAACAGGGATAATCGAGCTAAAACATTGGCGTAATGTATAAGTCTCTATGATAGTAACTAAGTGTTCCAAATTTGAGCAAAGTCGACCGACACCTATTTCCAGTTCTCCCTCAGGCAGAAGCTCTCAACTATATTTTCGTTTGGTATCACAGGAGTTTCAAATATCATGTTTAGTTTTTGTACTTAATGAAACCTTTCTTGTTTTCTGAATATTTAAGTAGGGTACAAAGGAGATTTTTTACTTTCAACTAAGTTTAAAAGGAATCTGCTTGAAATATTCTGTTATAACACCAATACTCAGAAATTGACGAAACAAATTCAGAAGATTTGTCAGTTAGAGTAAATCTAGGGTGGAAGGAGTGGAAAGTTCTAGCTACCATATCGGTCTAATGGCAACATATGGCTTCAAATGTGTTAATGAGAATTATTTTTGTTTTTTCTCTACCTCCACGTTCCTTTAAAGAAGCATTACGCCCTAGAAACAGTTCCACTTTGAAAACTAAAACTTCGAAATGGCAGAAAGAATACTACAAGATATAGCTGAACAAAAAACGCGTCTTGCAATAGCGCAAATCAATGAAAACACGGAAGAGAAAGCAGATGCCTACTACAATCTAGGCAGAGCTTACTACTCCCTCGGGGACTTCCATCAAGCAATAGAGTACGACAAGCAATACCTGAGCATTGCCAAGGAGGTTGGTGACAGGGCAGGGCAACGCGAAGCCTATGCCAATCTCGGCGCTACTTATCACAAACTTAAAGAATTCCAAAAAGTAATAGAGTACACCAATGAATACCTCACCATTGCCAAGGAAGTTGGTGACAGGGCAGGGCAACGCAAAGCCTATGCCAATCTCGGCGCTACTTATCACAGCCTTAAAGAATTCCAAAAAGTAATAGAGTACACCAATGAATACCTCATCATTGCCAAGGAAGTTGGTGACAGGGCAGGTGAAGGATGTGCCTATGGCAATCTCGGCAATGCTTATGACTCCCTCAGCGAATTCCGACAAGCAATAGAGTACCACAATCAACACCTCAGCATCGCCAAGGAAGTTGGTAACAGGGCATGTGAAAGCAAAGCCTATTGCCAACTCGGCTATAGTTATATGCATCTCGAAGAATACCAACGAGCAATGGAGTACACCAATAAAGGCCTAATAATTGCCAAGGAAGTTGGTAACAGGGCAGGGCAAGGGCAAGGCTATGGCACTCTCGGCATTATTTATAAACATCTCGGCGAATACCAACGAGCAATAGAGTACACCAATAAAGGCATCATCATTGCCAAGGAAGTCGGTGACAGGGCACAGCAAGGGAAAGCCTATCACAATCTCGGCGCTATTTATCTCCGCCTTAAAGAATTCCAAAGAGCAATGGAGTGCCAGAAGAAACACCTGAGCATTGCCAAAGAAGTCGGTGACAGAGGAGACACAGGACATGCCTATTCAAGCATCGGCGAAGTTCATTATTCCCTCGGCGACGTGCCACGAGCTATGGAGTACTACAAGCAATACCTGAGCATTGCCAAGGAAATCGGTGACAGGAGTGGACAAGGACATGCCTATTGCCGCCTCGGAACATGTTATAGAAAACTCCACGACTTGAAGGAAGCAATAGAGTGTCACAAGCAACACCTGAACATTGCCGGGGAAATCGGTGACAGGATGGCAGAAGCATGTGCATATACAGGTCTGGGTCACTCTTTTTTGGAATCACACTCTTTGAATGAGGCTTTAGTACATTTTAGATGCTGTGTTAAAATCTATGACACTATTAGAGCCAATTCTATCTCGGAAGATCATTTGAAAATAAGTTTCTGTAAGCGTCATCATTGTGCCTATACTCATTTATGGCAAGTTTTAGTAATGCTTCAAAGGAACGATGAGGCTTTATACGCTGCTGAGAGGGGACGAGCACAGGCTTTGCTCGATGCCTTAAAAGTAACTTATGGCCTTACATCACTTTCTCGCAGGTCAATTGAATCTGAAGAAGAAGTCACATATATTTCAAAGAACACAACTGTGTTGAAAGTTTTTCTTTTCCTTGAATTGAAAATAGTCAATATGTGGGTATTGCAAAAAGAGGGCGACCCTATTTTTAGGCAAGCAGAGTTAGAAATTGGAGATGCACACGAAGATTCTTTTGCTCTCCTTTTAGACATTGTTTTGAAAAACATTAGGGCTGGTGTCGGTATTAGGTGCGAAAATCGGTCAATGGATAAGCTGAGTGATGACTCAACTCCCTCAAGTACTCAAGACGACAATCAAACATCGGAGCCATCACAGGGGACCACCGACCTTTTACAGCCATTGTATGATGCAGTTCTTGGTCCCATTGAAGATTTGCTTGATGGTGATGAACTAATTGTAGTTCCTGATGGCGCTTTGTCTAAAGCTCCTTGGGCAGCCCTGAGTGAAACTTTAAGGATCCGGACTTTTCCCTCACTGACAAGTTTGAAAGTCATCACAGATTCTCCAAGTGAATACCACAGTAAAAGTGGAGCCTTGCTAGTTGGAGAGCCATGCGTGAAGAAAATTACAGATAAACAGGGGAACCCCATTTATGATCCTCTGAAGTACGCAAAAATGGAAGTGGAGATGATTGGAGAAATTGTAAAGAGTCGACCCTTAACAGGTGAAGATGCAACCAAAGAAGCAGTACTTCAGAATATCGGGTCAGCTGCTTTGGTTCACATCGCAGCTCATGGAAGGAAGGAAACTGGAGAAATTGTTTTGGCTCCAGACCCCCGATGGGAATCCAAGACTCCTACGGAGGAGGAATATATTTTGAAAATGTCTGATATACAAGCTGTGAAGCTGAGAGCAAGGCTAGTTGTGCTTAGTTGCTGCCATAGTGGTCAAGGACCGGTCTCGTGTGAGGGTGTGGTCGGTATGGCACGTGCTTTCTTGTTTGCTGGTGCTCGTTCCGTGCTGTCGACACTCTGGGCAATTGATGACGAAGCCACAATGATGTTTATGAAATCTTTCTACCAACAACTTGCAAGAGGAGAAAGTGCAAGTGTTGCTCTTCAGAGGGCCATGAAATGTCTTCGAGAGTCCCACGATTATTCTGCTCCAAAGTACTGGGCTCCTTTTGTTCTGATGGGCGATGACGTTAAGATTGAATTGGAAAAAGAGTCATTGAGCAAGTCGTAAGTGGAGATTTTTTCCTTGCTCTTTAGTAACAAAAGGCTTTTGAGGAAAAGCTAGAACCATTCTTGTCAAATTCAAATAAAAGGAAAATGACAGACTTGATAATAAAAAGGATAAAAATATGTACAAAGTGAGGATGGGTTGGGTGGTAAGTGTTAAATTATTATGGATTCACTCAAGTAAATGCTATTCCTAACGGCCTACCGACACATTTCAAAAATCAATTGAACTCTAGGCATTGCTTTTAATTAACAATTGAGAACATTAAAATGTTTTCAATTGTTAAATAGTTTAGGTCAGGCGTAGATAAAAGATATACATAGGAATAAGTTTCCTTCGTTTTTCTACAGGAGTAGCACTAAATGTAGAGAAATTCATAGCTTCAAAACGAACAAATATGTCTAACATGTTAGATGTTTTTCATTTTGCTATTTTTCATATCATCATCCATGGCATCCTAAATTTAACTCTTTGACCTTTATTTTGTTTTGAATGAAAGATTAATTAATGTATCAATTGTTACTTTCTTTACAGGGATGCGCTGAAAGTTTGATGTCAACACAACTGCTGAAGTAGCGTGTATATATCTGGATTTCCTCAAAGAAAGAAGTGCTTTATTTAATAGCTGTCCTCAATGGGGAGTTTGGTAAAAAAGCGTGTTTTCATTTTAGTCATTTTTTGTCAGAAGATATTAAAAAGAGAGATTTATAGTCACGCTAGCGACAAATGGCAAACGTCTACAGATTCAAGTTGAGAATTTCTCAAAATAGAAAATATGCAGATAAAATGAAAACATCTCAAAGCAATTCGTATGGATAAAACTAACTTGAAACTAACAATTTTTTGTAGTTTAATTAACAGCAAACGAGAAAGCTCGAGAAGTAAAGGGAACACTTAGTCACGTGGTACAAATCCACGGTTTTCCGTAAACGTAACTCGAAATCTCTCTAATCAATAACATCAAAAAAAGTTGTAAATCAAAGGGCATACTGTATACTGTGGAGCTCTATATTAGCCGCGGCTACACACAAATGTCCAGCGCTGGCCACAAGATCCCTACTTTCCTTTTTCATCCTTAGTTCCACACTTCTCAGAGGTGTGGAAGTGTGGAAAAGTCTGACAAAGTAAGGTTTGATATTGTCGCACTTTTCCCACAGGCACTAACCCCTTGTAATTCTTTAATTAGTTCCACACTTCTCAGAGGTGTGGAAGCGTGGAAAAGTCTGACAAAGTAAGGATAATGTCACACTTTTCCCCAGTCATGAACCCTTTGTCATTCTTTACTTAGTTCCACACTTCTCAGAGGTCGGGAAGTGTGGAAAAGTCCGACAAAGTAAGTATAATGTCACACTTTTCCCCAGTCATGAACCCTTTGTCATTCTTTACTTAGTTCCACACTTCTCAGAGGTGTGGAAGTGTGGAAAAGTCCGACAAAGTAAGTATAATGTCACACTTTTCCCCAGTCATGAACCCTTTGTCATTCTTTACTTAGTTCCACACTTCTCAGAGGTGTGGAAGTGTGGAAAAGTCTGACAAAGTAAGGATATTGTCGCACTTTTCCCCCTGTTAAGAACCCCTTGTCATTCTTTACTTAGTTCTACACTTCTCAGAGGTGTGGAAGTGTGGAAAAGTCTGATAAAGTCAGGATAATGTCACACTTTTTCCCTGGTCATACGAAACCACTGTCATTCTTTACTTAGTTCTACACTTCTCAGAGGTGTGGAAGTATAAAATAGTCTGACAGAGTCAGGATATTGTCTCACTTTCCCCCCAGTCACGAATCCCTTGACATTCTTTCCTTAGTTACACTCCTATGTATGAAATGAGAATAAAGCGCAGTGGGAGTATTTGTTGGTTTTATTCCTACAACTCGTTTTACATCTTTTTAAATGCTATTTTAAGTTTAGACAACAATTCTATGACTAGAAGATATTAGCCTTGTTTCACTGCTATCTGTTTGAATACCGGACCATAAAACAAGCCTACGTTTTCCCTGTCACGAAGTCCCTGTCAGTCCTTTATCTTCGTTTATTTATTTATTTATTTTTCAACAGAAACCTCAACAACGTCATCTCATCTATGGATTTTTATGTTTGAAATTTTTCATCTTAATGTGCCATATATGAGACGTCTTATTCTGGGTTTTTCTCCTTTCTATAGATCTATTCGGCTGACTCAATGTCGTACCCAATTCAAACCCTTTGGGTATAAAACGTTTTGTTTTAGGAATTTCCATATCATTTAAATGTGAATGCCACATTATAACGCAAATACAATACACAAAGAATCTTAACCCCGGGAGCTTACAATTGGGTACAACAGTCAGGTCTCTTAAGATCGTGACGATAGATAGATAGATAGAAACTTTATTAAAGTGTCAAAAGCCGTCTTGCCAGGGAACAAATCCCTTACTAATTTGGGGACACCAATTAGGGGAGAATATACAAACTAAAAACTATATACAGACGACGCTAAAAATAGGCAGTAAAGAATGCAGAGTTTGTGCGTTCTATCTTCCTCGCTTTAAGATCAACTTGATAAAGTTTATAAATGCTCAAATCAATTGTTATTGTTCTATTCCTTCATCAAGTTCATGACCTAAATTGGTCTAAAAATATACAGCATTCTGTATAAAGTAATAATTGTGACTTATCGGCCTAGAGTAGCTACCTGCAGATCTCTCTGTGGAAAAGGGGGATCACTGTTTAAGTGCGTGTTATAGGGTCGGCAATATTTATGTTATCTCTACGGCACGTGACAATACTAAAATATTTGCATGGTCCACCCTCCTCTTTGTCTGTAGAGAGTCACCCTTAGGTGAATTCTTTTTCGAGGTTTCTTGACCTCGAGCCGCTCGCCTCCGAGCGTGGTGTTGCTTCTTTTTCATAATTTATGTCCAGCATTTACATAACCTTAGAGAAGAGGAAAAACTGCGAAACAGTGGATATATGGCGTGATCTAACAATTATCAAATTTGAACCAGTGCTGATAACGAAGAAAGCTTGGTTGGAGATCGGATTTCTTAACTTTAACTTTCTTTCAACAGCTGGCATTGAAACAATGGTTATATCTGCTATTCAAAATAAAAATAGGTCTTAAGGAAAAATGTAAAAAACCATACAGAAATAAAACCAAGTGCTCATAAAGCGCACTGAGCTTCTCGTGACTCAGGGAAAGTGCGACATTAAACTCAACTTGTCAGACTATTCTACCCTTCCACACATCCGAGAAGTGTGGAACTAAGTAAAGAAGGACAAGGGGTTCTTAGCAGGGGGAAAAGTGCGACAATATCCTTACTTTGTCAGACTATTCACAGTTCCACACCTCTGAGAAGTGTGGAGCAAGGTAAAGAATGACAAGGGGTTCATGACTGGGGGAAAAGTGCGGCAGTATCCTTAGTTTGTCACACTATTCCACACTTCCACACCTCTGGGAAGTGTAGAACTAAGTAAAGAATGACAAGGGTTCTTAACAGGGGGAAAAGTGCGACAATATCCTTACTTTGTCAGACTTTTCCACACGTCTGAGAAGTGTAGAACTAAGTAAGGAATGACAAAGGGTTCATGACTGGGGGAAAAGTGCGACAATTTCCTTACTTTGTCGGACTATTCCACACTTCCACACCTCTGAGAATTGTGGAACTAAGTAAGAAGTGAAGAAACTCTGGATTTCATGGCCAGGGCTGGACATCAAGTATTTCGGAGCTCGCATTTCGTTAAACCCGCGAAACTGACTGAGTAGTAGTATAGATGATTGCCCCTTTTCTCTTGTAACCTACCTTAACCGGCAAATTATAATTTGGCAAAGGAAAATTGCATTGTAATAATCGTAATATTGATGATAATAATAATCACCATCATCATAATCTTAATAACTCCTTTTCAGTTTTTTTTCCTCGGCTTTAAAGCAAATGACTGAAACAAATAATTCAAATTAATTTAACGGGTTTAACCCTCGGACGTACACGCAAATTCATACCCCAAACGTGGTATAAGGGGGTGGGGCGGATAGAACCCCTCCCCAGAGTTTTTGATAATTTGCAGTATTTGGAAACGATTTTTCCTGCAGCGGAAAGCTTTTGATCTACTCAACAAGATGAGGTTTATTTTTAATGGGTGGTGGCGCTGCTGGAGGCCTGTGACGTCACCAACAATGGTCGCCATCTTGGATTTCACCAAGAATTAGAAATCAGGTTAAAATCGCGATAAATGATAATTTTCTGTGTTTTAGATGTAAAATAACACATAAATAAGCCCATTGCATCATTTCATTGACAATTTTTACTTTTATTGTTGAAAAAAGTTTAAAGAACATGCATTTTCACTCAAAAATGGCTTGACAACCTGCTACTTATGGACGTCATATGTCGTAACCATAGTAACTGACCATCACTTAACTTATCTCAAATTGCGCGCGAGGGATAAACGAACAGCTACTGAAAACGTCAGGTGCTGATGTTTTATCGTCTAAAAAATTCAAAAAAACCTCAGGGGGGGGGGGGCAGCTAACCACTCCCCCTCCCCTTATACATCCGAGGGTTAAGAATCCCAAGTCTCCCAACGGGACGGAGACGAACCAATTAACTATATACAAGCGTGGCCATGGTTTCAGTAGAGTGATTCAGATTTAAATCAGATAATTTTTAAAATTTAAGAATGCACTGTAAGTATTTTCTGAACCGCGGGTCATAAGTTTCATTGGTTTAAGGTCTGAGTTAAAAGGGTGTATTACGTTTTATATGACTGATCCCCGGTTTCCCAGAACTAGTATTATTTTTTAAAAAAAATTAATATGTCCATGTCTTCTTGATCTTTAATGTATAAATTGGTGGACAGTACAAAATGCAGACTGCAGACTGACTGCAGACCATTCTTTTCAGGGTTAGAAAACAATGGGACTATCAGTGGCTTCATAGTTTAGTTGGTTAGAGCGTCGTACCAGTATCGCGAGGTCACGGGTTCAAATCCCGTTGAAGTCCAGATTTTTTTGTTTTCAGGCTTCTT